AGGCCCGTCTGAAGTTTACTAGAGAGCATTTAGATGATCCAGAAGAGGATCGGGAGAATGTTATATGGTCAGATGAAACCAAAATAGAACTTTTTGGTAAAAACTCAACTAGACGTGTTTGGAGGAGAAAGAATGCTGAGTTGCATCCAAAGAACACCATACCTACTGTGAAACATGGGGGTGGAAACATCATGCTTTGGGGCTGTTTTTCTGCAAAGGGACCAGGACGACTGATCCGTGTAAAGGAAAGAATGAATGGGGCCATGTATCGTGAGATTTTGAGTGACAACCTCCTTCCATCAGCAAGGGCATTGAAGATGAAACGTGGCTGGGTCTTTCAGCATGACAATGATCCCAAACACACCGCCCTGGCAACGAAGGAGTGGCTTCGTAAGAAGCATTTCAAGGTCCTGGAGTGGCCTAGCCAGTCTCCAGATCTCAACCCCATAGAAAATCTTTGGAGGGAGTTGAAAGTCCGTGTTGCCCAGCGACAGCCCCAAAACATCACTGCTCTAGAGGAGATCTGCATGGAGGAATGGGCCAAAATACCAGCAACAGTGTGTGAAAACCTTGTGAAGGCTTACAGAAAACGTTTGACCTCTGTCATTGCCAACAAAGGGTATAACAAAGTATTGAGATGAACTTTTGTTATTGACCAAATACTTATTTTCCACCATCATTTGCAAATAAATTCTTTAAAAATCAGACAATGTGATTTTCTGGATTTTTTTTTTCTTTCTCATTTTGTCTCTCATAGTTGAGGTATACCTAGGATGAAAATTACAGGCCTCTCATCTTTTTAAGTGGGAGAACTTGCACAATTGGTGGCTGACTTTGCCCCACTGTATATATAGGTTTTGCAGATGTGTGTGTTATTTAAAGGGACCTGTTGAATGTAGTTTCATGATTCTTGCCCTGAGGACTCATAGGAATTTATTTCAGATATCTGTAAACATCTCCAAAAAACAAATCTGACTCGACAAGAAATTACAGCAGTCGGATAATCAAATGGCCAAATCGCCCAGGTTAATCTTACTTCTATGTTAAGCAAACATCAAATAATAACCCTGCTGTAGGGATGGTTATCGTTAAAGTTTTAACGGTACTGCTACTTTTATCGACACCGCTTATCAATCCGGTGCTTTAACGGTACTCTTATCGGTTCTTTTAAAAAAAAAAAAAGGTAAATTAACTAAACAAAATAAATTAAATACATAATATTTCACGTCAAAAGAAACGACAATGTTTTAACAAACCGTATTAAATAATCTGATGACAGAATTGTAAACAGAATAGCTGAAACTTTAAAATAAATAAATAACTCTGTTACCTCTAATCATTAACCCATGTTTGTATAATTGAGTTAACTCCGTGTGTTGCTGGTAGCATACATAACACCTGACGTGGAAACGTTAGTTGTGGATGGGGCTACAGAGCTACTAGAAAGACAGTCGAACCCGGTGCATTCCTCCGCCTGAATGTGGTGCACTTTTGCTAAATGTTTAGACAAATTGCTTGTGTTACCGCCCTTACATGCTAAACTCTTATTGCACTTTAGGCAACGAGCATCAAGACGGGTAAAGTTTAACCACAGCTCGGAGCGCGTTCTCTCCGCCATCTCCTCCGTGTGTGTGTGTGTGTTGCTGCATGTAGCAGCTGCGTGTGTGTGTAAACTGCCCCGCCCCCTCGCACACAGACGGGGGAGAGAGATTTCTCGTCTGGATTGGAAAGATCAAAAATACAAAAAATAATCATAGACCCATTTTGCAGTCTTTTTGCATATTAGAAACGGAGTTGGCGAAACTAAAACTGCAATATAATGTTTGTGTAGCAATAATATATATGACAGATATTTTAGATGTCTCCAGTACCGATAACGTCGGAGCTTAACGGTACCACGGTCTTTAATAATTCAGCCCCGGGGCCCGTTTAATACCGGGGCTCAGTACCCATCCCTACCCTGCTGTCAGCGGTGGTCTAACCAAGTTTTTCGACAGGCTTCCTTTTCTTAACGTACTTGTGTGCACCCTGTTTACCTGTGCAAAGACAGATTATTTGTGACATTTCAAGTAGAAGGAAATTCAGTTTTACTTCTTGTTCACTTTGTTCACTACTTGTTTGAATCATGTACGTCATATAATAAACTGTTTCATTATAGAATACGTTTATTATAATAATAATAATAATAGACGTTTCAATACCTTTTCACTGTTTAAATTGCAGTCTCAAATTCGGAGATCAATACATTTTTTTATGCGTTTCCAGACGTAAGAGACTGACGGACTGGGACACAGACATCACTCCCCTGGTTGGAGAGGAGCTTTTAGTCGAGGTTCTGGATGATATTCCCCTCACAATGCATAACTTTGTGAGTAGCTGTGACATGTTTTTTTGGCTTCTTTGTTATACCTTATATTAACAGAGGGCCAACCTGTAAGGAGCTGGCTTGGTTGATATTCCACTTTATATTTGGGTTCATAAATATATATTTTGCTTGAATGTTTCTTCAATGCTTAAGGTGTAATGTAAATGTTGTGGCTTTTTTTCTGTGCAGGTACGGAAAACATTTTTCAAGCTGGCTTACTGTGATTTTTGCCACAAGTTTCTTTTTAACGGCTTCAGATGTCAGACATGTGGCTACAAATTTCACCAGCACTGCAGTAGCAAGGTCCCTACAGTGTGTGTGGACATGGACACAGTGAGCAAACGGTGAGTTGAGGAAGGGTTCGAAATCGCCAATGAGGGCAATATTTCTCCCTGTTTGAGTGAAGGGAAGGCTGGATTACTTTCTGAACTTCATTTTTATTAAGATAAACTCCAACTGCACCTGTGTCAATGGATGGAGTAATGCTCTTAACTCAAAGTCGACATACTACCTTCTTTAGAAGCTTGAAACCACATTTCAATGTCTTCTTCAACTTGCTCAGTTCTCATAACTGTTTCAGAGGGACTTTGAAGTTCATTAACACAAACAATATATAGGCTGATTAACAGATGTCTCCTTCACAATGTATGTGAAATATAAAAGTCTAAACAACAAGTGGGTGCAATACAAACATATAAATACACAAATAAAAAAATCAGGTTAACAGCAAAGATCAGAAAAATGTGATCACTCTGGGTAGGTTGAATATAGTTACATGTAACGAGAGTTGCACCAACTTCCTTAAATCGGTCTTCCTTTGTCTGACACCTTGTTTAAATTTTTCTTTGGTCTTATGCCTTTTCTCTTATTTTTTTGTCAGGTGTGATCCTAATCTCTGCACAGATGAGTACCCACGGATACTATTGCCAGA